GAGGGTGGCCACCTTGCTGGCCTGGGCCCTGAACGCGCAAGTGCCTTGTCCCTGAGGGGCAGTGACCACAGGGACAGCGTCGGGACCCACCCAGCACCGAGCCTCACAGGCAGTGGGTGCTTTCTGGGCCAAGCCTCAGTGGCCTGCAAAGCCAGGGCAGGCCCCTTGTGGGGTGGGACTGACCCAGCTGTGCCCTTCCTGTCCCCGGGCACCCCGGGGTCGCCATGGGCTCCCTTCAGACAGCAAACCCGCAAGGGAGCAGAGGGCTGAGTCCTGGCTGAGGACTGGGCAGACAGCCCGGCCTGGTGGGACCCGCGCACAGCACTGGGGGCCGGGGTGCAGCGGGGTGGCCCAGCTCCCGGCTTCTCGGTGACCTCTTTCCGGGGCTTTGGGTTCACTTCCTGTGGGTCTGCAGTCAGCTTTCTCTTCCCGCGGAACAAAATCGAGGACATCCGGTGGGACGAAGCAGAAGCGGCAGAGAAGGCGATCCAACTTCACTTCCGGGTGGAGCAGATCGTCTACTGCCAGGACCAGGCTTACCGAGGCGCGCTGCAGCGGGTCAGGGAGGAGGACGCCCAGAAATCCTGCCTAGGCCTCAGCTTTGCTCCCCGGGACTCCACTCCCCGGGACTCCGCTGTGGCCGAAGTCCTGCAGCACTTGAATGCCTACCGCCAGGTGCGTGTGCTCTTCCCCTCCCCCGGGAGCCCCTCTGTCTGGGCTGCGGGTGCAGGGAGCCCCACCAGCTCGGGGCCCCTGGAGCAGCCCCACTCAGCTGACAGGCGCTGGGCGCTCAGAGCCCGCACACCTGGCTCTGCTTGGCGAGAAGCCTTGGCCTGCCACTCGGCCTCGCTGCACCTGGGCTACCTACTGCACCAGGCCCTCTGCTCCTGCAGAGGCCCAGGGACGAGGCTGGGCCCTTGGGAAGCCTTGGGAAGCTCCTGGCGCCCCTGCTGGCCGCGCTGCACATTTCCTAGGCGGTAGAGGAGGGGCGCTCGTGGGCAGTGGGGCCCAGCAGGGGACTGAGCATCTGCACAGGGACCCGGGCATCTCTGGGTCGGCAGGCACCGCACCACTCCCTCTTGGGGCGAGGCCGGGCTTCCACACCTGGGCAGCGCACGGGCCCTGAGGGCGCAGGTGTGGGGCACCGGCTGTGGTGGGGCCTGGGCAGCCGAGCTGCAGGACGGAGCCACCATAGCCAGACCGAGGCAAACCCCCCTCCCTGAGTCCCGAGGGCTATGGTGCAGCGGAGAGAGACCCGTGAGCGGAGAAGGAGCCCTGCGCCCCCCCCCCCCCCGGGCCTGCTGTCAGGCCACCTTCGGAGGCCGGGGCTCAGCAGGAGGCCGCACGGGCATGGCGCTTGGGGAGGTGACAGCTTCCGTCTCGGGCCTGGGGCTCAGGGTCCTCTCAGCACAGGGCCAGCCGGTGTCTGGGGCTCAGTGCCCTCCAGGCCCGTCCCTGTGTCCACACGGGCAGAGTTTGTGCGGGGATCTGCGTCCCTCCTGCTGCCGTGTCGCTGTCCCCACTCCGGCTTCTCCTGCTCCTGGGAGCCCCCCTTGTGGCACCCTGTCTGTTCTCCTCCCTGCCTTGGGGACAGGCCACGCCTGGCTCCCTGTGGTCCCAGAACCTGCATCCCTGCTCAGCTCCCGCTGGCTGACCTGCAGGACAGACCTGGTGCTGGTCACTGCCTGGCCTCCCCCCGAGCAGGTGCCTGTGACACGTTCAGTGGTTCACCGTCTGGGGAGGTCTGTGGCCAGGTTGTCCCTGATTCCCAGAGAAGGAAGCTGAGTCACACGGGGACAGCAGAACTTGCTGGGCCCCCAGCACGTGTCACAGCCCTGAGGTCAGCGTGTGTCAGACCGAGTGAGTGAGGACAGTGGGGCAGCAGGAGGAGCGGTGAGGACTCTGTCCAAGCTGGGACCCAGGCTCCTGCCGGGCCCGGACCCAGCTGCCACAGAGCCAGAGGCTCGGCCCACACGGGAAGAAGTGGGGTGCTCTCCCCAGGTGCCGTGTGAATGTGGGGAGAGCAGCGTCCCTCGTGGAAACCTTCCTGTGACCCACCCTTCCCCTCCAGGAGGTCGGACGAAGCCTGGCCAGACAAGTCCCCCTCATCATCCAGTACTTCGTCCTGCAGAGGTTCGGCCGGGAGCTGCAGAGCGCCAGCTGCTACAGGACAAGGAGGCCTGTGCCTGGCTCCTGCAGGAGGGGAGCAGCAGCACCAAGAGAAGGAAGGACCTGAAGGGGCGGCTGGAGCAGCTGGGCCAGGCCCAGCGCTGGCTGGCCAAGTTCCCGGGCTAACCTGGCTCCAGGGCCCAGGGAGGAGGCCTGAGCGTCTCCTGAGGCCGTGCCAGGGAGCGCTAGCTGCTTAGCAGATACTCAGCGGGCAGAGGCCGAGGTGAGATCTCTGCTTTTCACCCAGCAGCCCTGGGGGCCGGGAGGAGTGAGGAAAGTGATTTGATTTCCAGCCAGAAGAGCACAGCAGGGAGGACTGTTGGCGCAGAGTGTCCCGCAGCGGCCTGACCTGTAATCTAGGTTTACACAGCCCCAGAGAAGCAATTTAAAGCTGCTCCTCCCTTCCCCACCCCAAGCTCTGCCACAGCCCCAGGCTTAGAGCTGTAGCCCTGCCCTGGTTTGCCACTGCCCTGGACTCGATAATAAACCTCCTCGCCTGGATGGGGGTCTGCGGGTCTTCAATCTGTCTGCATGGACATGCCTGAGAAGACGCCATGCTGTTTGTGCCATAGCGCTGAACCTGGGAGGGGTTGGCTCCTGACGGATGGCAGCAGGTGACAGCCAGGTCCCAGGGGGGAGGAGCTGGGAGGAAACTGTGAGCCAAGGTCTGCTGGGGTCCAGGCTCGAGAAGGGGCAGCCGTGAGCCCCGTCATCCTGGGGGACTCTTGGTCCCCAGGCCCGTGTGGCTGAGCCAAGGGCTGAGAGAGGACGGGCAACATAGCCGCAGGGCACCCCGACCTCCCAGAGCTGGCTCCAGTGCTCGGACCCCAGGGCCTATAGGGGAGGACCAGGGACAGGGACAGGGACATGGCTGGCGTGGGGACTGTGGGCCCAGAGGGGACCAGGAGCATCAGAGAGGAGGGCTGAGGGCCCAGCGGTGCTGTCTACAGAGACCCCGAAACAGAGGCTGCCTCAGTGCTACCCATCCCAGTGCGGGGGGGGGTTCAGGGGGTTCAGGCCACGCTGGACAATGGCGGCAGGGTGGGGCTGGACCCTGGTCCCTGTCACTGCCCTTGCAGACCCTGCCCGGGTCACCTCCCTCCCAGGTTCTGTGACCTAGATCCTCAGCTCCACCACCTTCACACAGGCTCCCTGGGGACACGTCCTTGTCCGTGGCCATGGGTGGGAGGTGCCCTGAGCCCTCCCCATGTGGCCTATCACCTGCAGGGCTCAGGGCCCTGGAGCGCACCGAGGCCTCTGTGGCCTGCAGCTCCGAGGAAGGTCTGTCCCTTTGCACACGGCCACCTGGCCACCTGCTGTCTGGCCTGCCCTGTCACCCAGATCCCCTCCTAGCCCAGCCCCAGCCCTGCCCATCTTCCCGGGACACCAGAAAGAGGTTGGGGGCCCAGGCGCTGGGCGGATCTGCTCTGGGTGCAGCTTTCCTGGTGGTGCCTGTAAAGTGAGGATGGGCAATTGGGGACTCTGGTTCCCCAGAGGGGATGCACTGGGGCGACTGGCTGGGACCACCCAGGAGCCCAAGTGCAGGGAGCGAGCGTGTGGGGGCCCTGCCCGTCCTCACCATCAGCAATGGGCAGAAGTGCCCGTGCACCGTGTCAGAGCCCTGAGGGGCGGTGCGGGCCCTGTGTGGCCCGGCTTGGGAGGTGCCCAGCCCCGTCAGGGCTGCGCAGCCCACCTGGGGCACGACACAGGGCAAGGGCCTACACCTGCTGCTGTCCGCTCGCGTCCACCTGCACCCCTCCTGCCCGGACAGGCACCAAGCCACTGCTCAGGACTCGGGTGCTCAGTGTCCCTGGCCAGGCCTCTGCGTCCAGATAAACGTTGGGATGTTAAAGGTCACGTTCCTTGGTTACAGGTGAGTTGGTTTTGCTCTTGGTTTTGCTGTATATTTTTTCAGTTTTCTCGACAGCTTCTTGCTATGGTAGCCCAGGCTAGCACTGAACTCAGTATTTAGCCCAGGGTGGCCTTGAACTTGCAGCGATCCTCCTGCCTCAGTCTTCGGAGTTTATTTTTCTTTTTAAACTTTATTCTGTTGCCTCTCAGAATTCTGCAGAAATAGCACTCTCAGCAAAATGATCTAACCCAGTGTTTTAGGATGATATCCCTGAGGGACACAGAAGATGAAACTTAGTGGACTCCCGCGAAGGTTACCCCGAGGGCCTTCTACATTCCCTTGCTGCTCAACTGTGACCCAAAAGGCCACAACGCTGAACCCTAGTCGTTACTCAGTTCCTCCCAGTGTGTCCCAGACAGGACCAACAGCCATACTAACAGATGATACAAGGCCTGGCATATGGCGACAGCCCAGCAGCCTCGCTTCCGGAGCCAGGGAAGGTCAATTAAGACACCACTCTGTGAAAATATTAATCTTTGCTAACAGACCGCCATCAGACAAAGGAGAATTAATATGCTGATAAAAGCAGCTCTGTCGAGCAGGGGTCACAAGACAAGGTACACAGTTACCCGTATGGACAAATCACTGAACCCAAGGCCACCAGCAAGTCCCCTCTCCACTTTCTCATGTTGCTGCTTCTAATCTTCCGCCCATGTTCACTTAATCTACTCGTAACACTGCATCTCTGAGGCTACAACATTTTCAAGTCAAGCTGATGGTTGCTCAGGGGTCCCAACCAAGCCAAGCCGGGGGCCTGAGCACTCGCACTGCCCCCTTAGCTTGGACGGCTAGAGACCTTGGTAACTGCCAAGGGGAGAGCCAGTGTGGACTGCATGTGCAGCAGCCCTAAAATGTTACACAGAGAAGGGACCCTGAGCCCAGACTCCTTAAAAGTGTGGAGGATAAAATCTCTGGGGGAACGAGAGCATCAGGGACCACCATGTTGGGACACAATGTGGGGACAACAAACTGAACTCCTAGCACAGAACAGCAGCCTCATTTTGGCATGGCTGTTGCTTTTCCATGCTGGTGATTTTTTCCAACATAAAACTGCCGCAGGAGCCGTCTGCGTTTCCTGTTCTTTGCCTCCCCTCTTGCTCTTGTGCCCCCCAGTGGCTGCAGCAGCCCAAGCGCCTGAGGTCCTTCAGCCCCAGCTCAGGCCCAGACCCACGAGGCTGGGTGCTGAGGGGCCAGAGGTGTCAGCTACACAAAAAGCCAGCAGCCTCGAGGACAAGCAGATGTTGACCACTCCGAGGCCCCCGCCTGGGCCTGGCTGGTCGGACATCCTCAGTGGGCTCCAGGGCACAGTGCTGCTGCCTGGCCCCTGCCTGGAGGGATGGAGAGTCCGGGTGAGGGCAGAGTGGGCACCGGCTGCATCAGAGTGAGGCTTCCAGGGTAGTGGCTCATCACCTGCAGGACCTGGGTAGGCCTGGAAGGTCAGCCTGGCCCTGGCCGGCGGACACGGTCACCATTCTGCACGTCCCTCTCGCTGAGGACAGTGGCCCTTCGCCTCCGTATTCTGCACATGACCTATGGGACAGCACCCTGTTGGGTAGGTTCCTCCCCACGCTGCCCTTTCCCCTTGGTTTCCGGGTCGTCCTCAGTCCTGCCCTCACCCCGGTCTGGTGACAGCCTGGCCACGCGGCTGCTGCTCTGAGATCAGGACGTCACACCGCACAGCACGGGCAGAATGTGCTGCCTGGCGACTATCGGTTTCCGTCCTTTTATTTGTTACAAGTACTTCCCCCTGGTGGAACTTGGTGTTAGCACATTTTTAATGCTTGTAAATATAATTTTCCTTTCAGTTTCCTAGTTTTCACCTCATAAAGGATAACAGCTGAGAACGGTGTTGTCTTCAATCTGCACGGCGCCACTGACAGGGAGAAGCCAGGCACTTTGTGGGTCCCCTGGGGCTGGGGAGGTGGATTTGGGGTCACTCCTAGGATTTCCTGCTGATCTAGTGCAAGTCTTCCTGTAAGGAGTGGGAATCCTTGGACACTTTTTGGGACATGGTACACACACACACACACACACACACACACACACACACAAACGATGAAGGCTCCCTGTGAAAGGCAAAAAAAAAAAAAAAAAAGGGAAAAACCCCTACAAAAAAATCCAAGAGCCCCAAATGGGGCCACAAAGCATCGCAACAGCACCACCTAGTGACGGACCTGTGAATCACACTGTGAGGCTGCACAGGGACCGAGAATGGGATTCCTGGACTGGAGTTTAGGAAACTAAACTGAAACAAAGTATCTCTAAGGTTACTAGGAAGAGTATTGTTCTGTTTCTCCGGTAACTGTTGCTTGCTCCAAATGAGGCGTGAATGGTTGATTTCATGGCTTTGTTTTGCTTTCTCTTTCTCGTTAGACAGAAAGTGGGAGACAGGCGTGCTGGTGCATTCCTGTAATCTCCGCACTCTGGGAGGCTGGGGCAGGGGGGTTGCAGGTTCAGGCTTAGTCTAAGCAACTCCGTGAGACCTGATCTCAAAATAAAAAATAAAACAGGGCTGGGGATGTGCCTCGGAGGCCTCGGGTGTACTCATGGAGGAAGGTAAGATCAAAGGGCTGGTGTCGCAGCTAGATGCCATCTCTCAGGTGGTGTCGTCTCGTGCCTCGAGTGTTCTGCCCTCCCAAGTGGTGCCCTCTGTAGAGGCTGAACGGCTCAGCCGGGTCCTCACCCCACAAACCATGTGCCAGGCCCTGAAGGGGCGGGCTTGGCATGCAGACGGGTGAGTATGGGGTACGGAGAGAGCTCGGCTTTGGTGAGCGAGGACAGAGCTGGTTCCATGCCCGGTACACACACTTTTCCAGCTCTGTTTTCCTGGGCAGATGTCTCAGCGGAGCTGGTCTCATTGGTAACGGGGAACAACATCTCTATAGGGGTCCTTGGGAGTACAGCAGCCGACTGTTTCCAGCCCCTCCTGTCAGTCCCCAAGACTGGGCTGGACTTTCCGCCCCAGTCCTGCAGAAGAGCTCCCTGTGCCTTTTCAGTTTATTTTAAAATAAACTATTTAAAATATTTTTTATTCCGAGATAAGGTCTCACTAGCTGGCCTTGAAGTTGGCGATCCTTCTGCCTCAGCCTCCCGGAGTGCTGGGATTACAGACGTGTGCCGCCACACCCCACTTTTCAGTTTCGTTTCTACAGGTGGTATTCCCCCAGACCCTGTGTGGTTTCTGGACTCTGAAGGTCTTTATTCTTTGCAGCAAGTTCCGAGTCTTAATCCCTGGGCCCAGCCCTGCTCCGTGGGGCTGTTTGGTGTCTCCCAGGGCCCACGTGAATGCCATGACAATACCAGCCCCCGACTCATCACCTGGGGCAATTCCTAAAGTGCGACTCAGGAGACGTGTTTCAAAAAAAAAAAGTCCCAAGCCCAACAAGCTAGAAGTCTTATGTATTCAAATAATCGAACACGGTTTATTTCCTTTTCAATGGCATACATCTGAAATCAGTGGAACGTACAGGTATAAAAATAAGATTATTTTAGAAAACTGCAGTTTTGCAGGGCAGGGCTGTTGGGACTCCATATCTACAGAGCTATTCTAAGATGGACCGGAGACCTCTCGCTGATTGTAACTTTAATTAGTCACTTCAGGGTCCCAGAAATAGAGCAGACTTCCAAAAGGGAAATATAAAATAATCTTAAGCACTTTCAGAAACACAAGTTACACCCAAGGATCATATATTACAGGATGTGAATCCAAGGTATACAGAGAATACATTCTGAAAAGCACTACTTTTGGCATCTTTGAAAAAGGCAGCACCTGGCTCAAAGATTTGCCACTTGAACCAGGCCCCGTCTGACACTTTAGGGAAAGTCAGGCGGCTCCAATCAACCTGGACCCGGCACTGTAAACTTCCGGAACACTTAACAGTGTGAATGAACAGGAACAGTGGGAAAGTCAGCATGCCAGGTAACAAAGCCAGGTTGTGATCAGCAAAACCTCTGCTCTCCCATGTAGGGAGTCACTGCTATGCGACATGACATCTACAATTAGGAAAAGAGGGAAAAAATTCCAAATCCCAGTCTTACACCCGTACCAACCAAAGCCATGAAAGTGCATAAAAAATTGTTCAGAAATTTTATTTTGTATAATTTTTCTATAGATCAATAGAGCCTTACTTCGATTTGTTCATTTCCCCCCCTTGCTTCAAACACACTCATCCCATTGTCCTTGCCGCTTTCTGCAGCAGCTCTGGAGTCCTCTTTCCTGAGTGTCTTCATGAGGTGTGATCAGAAATACAGTGACTGCTGCTGCTGACCGCCACCCAATGGAAAGGCAGCTCTTAAAACACGGTGCTGGGTCCTCATCCGCCTTAGTCACCGGATCTGGCACCCTGTGACTTCCAGCTCTCCCCCAAAGTCCAATGACCATGAAAGGAAATGTTTTGAATCCATTCAGGACATCAATGTGGCCACAAGGGTAAAACTAAAGACTTTCAGGAAAGAGGGCTCCAGAGCTGCCTCAGAGAGTGTCAAGGAGGACGGGACACGTGTGTTCAGAGTGAAAGAGAGGATTTTGAGGGAGATTAATGGCAACATGTCTTTACTGTCATAAATTTAAAGACTCAAACATTTGCCATATTTTCCAGTCAACCCTGTGCGGTCCTGCTGCCTCCCACAGCACGCTGGCGGTTTACTTTTCCCAGCTGCTGTTGTTCAAGTCCTGCCATCTGCACAGAGCAGCCTCCCTCTCCAGGGCTGCGCTCTCCAGAGATGGTCTGTGGCCACCGGCCGGATCTGAACCACTCAGGGAGACTCGCGGTGCCTCCCGTGTGCCCTTCAGGAGCCAGGGCACAGTGCAGCCTACACAGCGGCACATCCCAGGAGGTCGGGGTGTGTGGATGTCACATCTGACACAAGGGACCCCAGGGAAGTTGCCTGGAGGGAAGAAACCACGGCGCTTGCGGGGGCCAGTGACCTCTCCGCACCCATAAGGAACCCTGGAGGCTGCACTGTGCTCTGTCGTTACCTCCCTCGCGCAAGGTAGCAAACGGCCTTCACTCGCCCCAGGGCGACCCTCGCTGCCGTGCGGACTCCTGGGCCCCCTTCGCTGGTGCTGAGCAGGACTGGGGTGTGGGCAGGGAGCTCCGGGACCTGGTGAGGGTGCTGAGGGCCAGGACCACCCTGCCAGGAGGCTATGGAGGCTGACAGCAGGGACTGTCCCCATCCCAGGTGCTCAGGCCCCAAAGGGATCTGGCAACACCCCTCGGGCCTCCATCTTCTGCCCCCACACTTCCCGGGACACAGCCTTGTGCCCACACACTGAGGCCCGTGTCCTGCTCCAGGAGTCCAGGGGCCTCGAGGATTTATGACAACAGCAGGACCCAGATATGGCGGTGAAGCCAGCTTCCCTTTGCCCGCCACTTCCTCTTTGACCAATGGGCAGTCTGAGGGGCAAAGAGAGTTGCCCACAGTGCCCTGGGGATGTCCGGGCTGCCCAGACCGTGGGGATGACTGCAGCCTGGGGGGAGCAGGCTGTCTCCTGGCTCCTCCCTCCCTCCCAGGTCCTGGGATCTTCCACATTCCCACAATCCCTCACTCTCGGGGCCAACGGGCCCTGGCTGGCCTGGGTGATGCTTAGCTCACAGCTCGTGTTGCTCACACAGTCAGCGCTGACCTCCATGCTTGACTCCAGCTTGGATACCCTCAAAGCTGGGGGCTCACGGCTCAGTGAAATCAGCCAGATCTCTAGCAGGTTCAGCAACCTTAAGGGCAAAAGAAATCTTCAGGTTCTTGGAATTAAAGCGTATTTCCCGAGAGTCAATCCTGGTGATTTTGCTAGCATACTTTTCAGTGCATTTTTGTTTTCCTCCCCCACTCTCAAAATGTATTTTTCTGGGCTGCTATTTAATTTGCAAATTGCCTTAAATTAAAATCTGAAATCCTTAAAGCCCAAGAGAGATGTACAAAATAATTTGTTATGTAGACTTTTCCTGGCACTAAAAATGTAGTATCTCTCTTGGCAAACCCCACAGTTTTACATTTTGTGGCATTTGTTTTTGCCTTAAAAAATTCTAGTGGCAGTGTTTCCTCTGAACGGTTCTCTAATCAATTCTAATAAGTTTGTGCAACAGAAAACACAAGGGATTCCACCCAATTATCTGGTTTCCACTAATAACCACGAAGTCTGTGGGACTCAATTATTCTCGATGACTGCTGGGCAGCGATTTATTCCCAGGGACACGGGAGGTGGGAAGCCGGAACTCAGGACCGAGCCGTGCGTGTCTGCTCCACTGAGCGGGGCTGTGGTGAGAGGAACTTAATAAATCCCCATTTTTAATTAAGGAATGAAATAATCCCTCTTCAGCTCTTATACAAGAGAATGGAAGCCCAGGACACAACTGCCTCTCAGCATCTGTCACCCCAAGCTCTGCGGGGTGCTTAATGCTGTCTGGCTGAGAAGTCCCCGCCTGATTTCGATCAGTTACAGACCCCAAGTTCATCTCCAACCGAGACCTCTGGGTTTCAGGATGGGTCAGGCAAAGTCCTTCCAAATGTCTGGGGACGGGGTGGCCTCTCCATCCTTTACACCAGGGGCTCCAGTGCCCTCACTGTGGGGGTCTTTTAAACCCCAGGAGGGGGGGATAACAGGATCGATCCCTGTCCCATTTCTTGATGTTTTTATAAACAGTTTCAGGCAGGATTTCACTTCTGACTTCTAAGTAAGTTAGCAGGAAGAAAAAGCATCGTCCCATTTAAATGAAGACTGTCCACTTCACAACAGGGATTTCCCACTGAGAGCTGACATTTCCGAAAACTGTCTTCCAGCACTTTCCACAGTGAAGTGCGACGGGAAGCGACTCCCCAAAAGGGTTGCCACTTCCTTTTCCATGCATCAAAGCAAAGCTCCCTGAAGGTCTGCCAAGTAAGGGATGCGCTGACACCACTCCAGGTTGGGCATCGCTATCAAACTTCTGACTCCAGGTCTGGTTTTCAGTGGCAAAGCACACCAGGGAAACGTCTCCAGTTCAATGGCCTAGTTCATCCTTGTCGCTAAGGGACATCTTTGTGAATGGAAGTGTTCCATCCAATGTCACATCCACTAGCTTCTGAGAGGCAAAGGTAGAGAAACCTGAGGCAGAACACAGCGCTGTCAAACTGTACCCAAGGCCCTCCCTGGGATGGGGCCAGCGGGCATCCCGGACCTGGAGGAGAACAGCGCCCTGACCTGCAGCACAAGCAGGCCTCACCGCCTCAGGGACTACACTACATGAGGCTGGGTTTAAGGCTCTACCCTTCTGCGGCAAAGGCCTCAAATAATTGGGAGCAGATTTCCCCCAAACAAGGACAGTACTGAACCCTGTCAGGAAAGAGGAGGCATCAGCTGCCCCAGCAGTTCGCTGAGTGACTGGTATGGCGCCAAGACTGGGTGGCTCTGCAAGGGACACGCTCCCTTCAAGGAACGGGGAATGTGGAAGTGAAGCCACAGCAGGGAGCTTCCTCCTGACTGTCGGTCAGCAGCCAGGGCGCCCGGCCATTTCTCTGTCCCCCGGAGGGTAATAACCAGCCACTTCCAGAGAAGATTTGGAGAAGGAAACAACGACACTAATGACATAGACTCTGTGTTCCTCAGCAAAGCATTGTTTAATCTAGAGCAAAAGTAAATTAGGGGCCCGGGATTTAGCTCAGTGGCGCTGTGCCTGCCTTGCAAGCACAAGTTCGATCCTTGGTACCACAAAAAAAAAAAAAAAAAAAAAAGAGTAAGTTAGGTGGTCACGCCCAGCTTGGTAACAGAACTTCCGGGTGGGGCACAGCTTAGCCCCTGTCACCCCCCAGGAGGGCTCTTGTGGAATCAGGCTGCCACACCCCACCATGCCCTGGGCAAAGCCACCGAGAGGTAGTGCTTTTACTTTGACACCCACCGAGCCACAGGGGCGCTGGTGCAGAAGGCAGCTGTGGTCCCAACCCCCCGGGTGGGCCAGGCCTTCCTCTGTGGGCCAGGCTGGGCCCCCGAAGGCCAGGAAGGGAGGAAGGTGGCGGCATGAGGCGCCTTCTGTGCCACCCGACTGAAAGTCAGTTAATAGAAAAGCTTCCTGCCAGTGAGCGGAGTTGGGAACCACAGGCACGCGGGGCTCCAGGGCCGGTGCTGGGCCGCAGCTTGCCGCTGCCTGCTGGGTGGCCATCCGGGCAGCCCGTGCCATGAGCCTGAAGCCCAATCCACTCCGTTTTGGCTTGGAAGGAGGCATGTCTTTTTATTATCATTTTTTTTCTTGGAAGTAGGAAGGAAAAAGTGGAAGCTTAAAATCAAGACTGGAGATACAGTGAAGGTGGAGGCCTCTGGGAGCAGAACCAAGTTTCCGGGCCACGCAGGCAGGAAGGGCCCTGCCCACTCCCGGCGCCTGCTGCCGGAGAGGGAAGAGCTGGGGTCGGGTCGCCGGCTCCGAGGTCACCAGGCCTCATTTCCAGCGGTGCCTGACCAGGGAGGACTCGTCGTTGATGACCTCGGGGTCGCGGGGCGGGCGGCGGCGGCAGGGCAGCAGCAGCAGGATGATGAGCACCAGGAGGATGAGCCCGCAGGCGCTCAGCAGCGCGTAGGAGACGAACCACAGCAGCGGCTCGCCCGGGGCCGGGGCGGGAACGCAGTTGCTGGCGATGCCATCGGTGGAGAAGGGCCCGGAAACCTCGGACACCGGGGCGCCTGCGATCTCTGCGGAGACAAAGCGGGCCACAGCTGTGAGACCGGTGGCTCCTGGGCCCCTGGTGCTGCCTGGGGTCGCAGTGGGAGGAGGCTCGGGACGTCGGCCGGCCCTCGGAGTCTGGGCCCTGCACACAGCGAGGAGAACGTGCTCTGGGTCTGCGGGCGCTGCGCCCTGAGGTGAGTGGACCCTGCAGAAGGTCGGCGTGGGTGTCGGTCATCCTGAGAGCCCATGCGTGTGCCTGGGAGGGACCGGGGGTTTGCTGCTTCTGGGGTCAGCAGGGGAGATGTGGAAAAGGGGTGGATCCTTCTGCTGAGCCCTAGGCACCGCTGGCCCGCAGGCATTCCTCGAAAAACTAACCGGAGCTCCCCCTCCACACTGAGCCTGCCAACCCGGCAACCCCCACACTTTTTTTTGTGGTGTGGGGACTGAGCCCAGGGCCTTTGCACTGAGCTGCATCCCTGGCCCTTTTCATTTTTTATTTTAAGACAGGTTTCTCACTAAGTTACCAAGTTTCCTGGGCTAGGTTCGAAGTTGTAATCCTCCTGCCTCAGCCTCCCAGAGTTGCTGCATCCACACATTCTTAATGGGAGCTCCAAGTGCACCCGCTCGACACACATGAATCCCAGCACTCTGGCAGGCTGAGGCAGGAGGATCTCGAGTTTAAACCCAGCCCAGGCAACTTAGCAAGACCCTCAGGATGTGGCTCTGTGCAAAGGCCCTGGTTTAATCCCTGGTACTGGAAGAAAAACGTGGAGGAAACAGACTTGGTTCATTTGCAAAGAGGACACACTTTCTGGCTAATGGGGATTCTGTTACATGTTTTTCTAAGGGCCTGGAAAAGAGAAGCGATGGGCAGGAGCAGCAGGCTGAACAGCAGGCTGCGGCCCTCGGGTAAATGGACCACAGATGTCCGGCGAAGTCCACTGCCACTGCCAAGGCTCTGTGGGCTTGAACTTGGCCCCGAAGTGCCCACGGAGAGGGGCCCACACCCCACAGGGTGTGCGGCATGGCAGGGTGACCATCGGGCCTTCAGGGAGAAAGGCTGTCAGCCTCCGGCCTGCGCAGGACCAGGCAGACACTAGCACACGTTTAAATAATGCAAACAGGCCTGTTCCCTACTGCCAACGTGACACATATTTAGGGTAAGAAAGCTGAAAACATGGAGAAAGAAAAGCACACTCAGAAATTCACACTCAGAAATAATCAGTGGGTGCATCTTCCCTTTCCTACGCCTCAGCTTTGAAAAGCAAGGATGGAACAGTGGAGCTGTTTGGTCAGCCACCCTCACCTGACACAGGGTCAGAGTCACACTGTCCACTGCTACATCAGGCTGTTCTGACAACCGCACGAAACACCCGATTGGGGCTGGGGGAGCTGTTTTCCAACCACCCATCAGGTGCCACTGTGGGGTTTTCCAGTGGAAGACAGAGTTTGGGCGGGAATCTTCGCTCCTATTCTTGACGTCTCGATTTCCCTTTGAGTGTCCTGATTTCTGCTGACCAAGCAGCCATGAGGAAGACCGCGCTGGCACCATGGTCCTCGCTCGGCATGGCCAGGCCTGCGCCTCACACCTCGCCAGCGCTGGAAGGCACAGAGTGACGCCCTCCGTCTGACTTCACACGGTTTGCCATGCTTTGCTTGCGGGGGGCACAGCTGGAAAAGCTTTATTGGCCACTTAGGTTTTATGCTGATGCTCGGTAAGAACCCTTTACATGGCTAAAACTTTCTCAGTTTGCAAAAAGTCTTTGCACTGAGGTTATTGATTTTTTTTCAATTTTCTTTATAAATGGAGATGCTTTAGCCAGGAAAGTGCTGAAGAGGAAACAAGCTTTGTGGAGAGACAAGACTCCCCAGTGCAGAGAAGCAGGAAGACATCGAAAACCGCTTCTCCAGGCAAGATGGAGTCAGAGGCTGGATTCATCCTCCCAGCTGAAAGAGCTAAAACACTGGGCCAAATACACGACAGGGGTGAGGACACACAAGGAGAAGCCCGGCGCCCTAGTGCACCACCCTGAGTTCCCAGGCGGCACCACAGGCAGGGGCTGCTGTCCGCAGGAGGGACGGGTGGATGTCAGGGACGGCCACAGCCCTTAGAGCCTGCAGAGCAGAGTCACGCCAGGGAGACAGCTGTACCTGGAGCAACTCTGACGCCTCGGCCTCCCCTGTCTCTGCTGGGTGCAGTCAGCCTCCTGGCCCACGGCTCCTGCATCCCCAGGTCCAACCAACCACAAACCGGAAACACCGGGGAAGGTGGAGTCTGCCCTGAAAGGTGCCCTTTCCCCATCATCCTTCCACAAACAATGGTGCAGAATGATTATTTCCCTAGCACTTGTGTTGCGTGAGGTACTAGACGCCATGTAGAAATAATTTAAAGCACAGGAAAGATGCCTGTAGGTTATACGCAAATACTACCACGGGGCTGAGCATCCTTGGATTCTGGTATCTGGTGGGGTCCAGGAAGCAGTCCCCCTGGACACTGCCTGATATCTATCCCAGCCGTGGCCACTGTCCCAGAACACTGGAAACCAGTGAAAGCATTCACTGGGACAGGCTGGAGCCCACACGGCTGGGCAGAGTGTGCTCCCAGCCGGTCTGGGCTGTCCTCCGAGTGAAGGGCAACAGCAGCAAACGCGTTTAGGCACCACTTAGAGGTCTTTCCACTGTAATGGGAAAAATGAGACGCTGGTCTGACTCTTAAAAGCAAGATAAAAAAGCACAAACCTTTTCTAAGGAACTTAGCTGCAACCTAGAACAAATAACCAGAATATCTTCAATAAAAATATTCAGCCATCAGCGAGGGAAAATTCAGTGTCTGGCGTCTGATACAAAGTTGCCAAATGTCTTAGTGTTCAGGCTGCCGTGAAGGCAGAACAGAGGGGGCTGGGAGCCTTCCAGGCAACAAGTGCCATTTCCCACTGTCCTCCTGGCCACGGAGACCAGGATCAAGGCCCTGGCTAATTCTGTGCCCGACAAGGCCTTCCCGGTTCACAGACAGCCGTTTTCCTGCTGTGTCCTCACAGGGCAGAAGGGTGAGGGACCCAAAGGTGCTAATCTCATTCCCAAAGGCACGTGATGCTTAGTGGTGACTACTGACTTGATCACCTGAAGAACACCTAGGAAGTTAGTGAAGTGCTTGGGTGGGTGAGTGGGTGAGGGTGTCTCCAGAAATGACTAAACTGAGGGGAGACCTGCCTGCCTGAATGTGGGCGGCACAGTCTAATGAGGTAGGGCCCAGGATGGCAACGAGGAAGACCACCAAATTGGCTCCCTTCTCTTCCTCTGCTGCCCTTTCCTGGAACCGCCTTCTCCCTCACCCGGCCCTCTTCCTCCTTGTCCTCTACCTTCCTGGCTGCCATGAGGTGAGCAGCTTTCCTCCGCCACGCCTACCACTGTGATGTTTCTGCCTCACCACAGACCTACAAGCAATGGAGCCAGCTGACCAGGGACTGAAACCTCTGAAACCGTGAGCCAAAATGAATCTTTCTTCCTTTAAGTTGATCCTTCTCAGGGATTCTGTTACAGCACCAGAAAGCTGACTAACACAGGCCTATCTCTAAATACAGTTTTGATAGGGATTAGATTTCAACACACGAATTTTGTTGGGTCATAATCATTCAGTCCACATTACTGAGTTTCAAGGAAGCAGAAAAATACAATTTATAATTCCTACAAAGAAGCAGGGAAAAGCAATTGATAATGAGAAAAATCAGTCCACTAAAATTTAACAGGAAATGTCAGAGCTGATAGTGTTAGCAGACAGGATATTAGGGCCATTACCATCCCTGTATTCTATTCAGGAGGCTGAGGGAAACATTAGACATGTTAGAGCCAAAGAAGATATTAAAAGACCCAAATCAAACCCCTCAAAGCAACACAGAAGATGAAAAACACACTGGTGGTACTTACAGCACAGTATATACCGTAGAAAAAGACTAATCAACTTAAAGACAGCATAGAACTACACAAAATGAAACACAGAGTACTGAAAACTATACAGAACACAGGTATGGTGGGACAATTTTAAGCTGATATGTCAGCTGAGCACTAGGAGAGGAAGGGGTGGGACAAAACACATTTAGAGCTATAGTAACCATAGTTTTCCAAATTTGATGGAAACTATAAATTTATAGATCCAAGAGATTCAAAGTACCCCAAGATTAAGAAATACAAAATAGGGCTGGGGATTTAGCTCAGTGGTTCTGCTGCCTGTCTCGCAAGCTCAAGGTCCCGAGTTCGAGCCCCAGTACCAAAAAAAAGAAATACAAAATAGAATACCCTAGTGAATTTTCTGAAGATCAACTGTAAGTAGAAAACCTTAAAAGCTTAAAGAGAAAGAAAAAAATAATACTTGCAAAAGAACAAGAATAAGTTTTACAGAAGATTTCAGGTCAGGAAAATGTAAGCTAGAAGACAATGGAGCAACATCTTTGAAAGTAGTGGATGGGAAAAATAATCTGTCAACCTAGAACTCTACCTAGCAAAGGATCTTTTTTATTTTGTACCGGGAATCAAACTCAGGACCTTGTACTTGCCAGGCAGGCACAGCATCAAAGATATCTTAAAAATGAAGATAAGGATATTTTCAGATGTACACAGCTCAGAGTTCATTTCAAACAGATCTGCAGTCTAAGAAAGTCCTTTCAGCAACAGAGAAATGATACCAAGAGGAACTTGGGTCTACACAAAGGAACAATGACACAGAAATGTAACTGCATAGGCAGTTATAAGATCTTTAGTTTTAATTTTATTTATGTAAAAAGATAATTGACCAATTAAAGCAGAGACAATGACAAGGTATTGGGTGGTCTATAACATAATCATGACAATAACAGTACAGAGAGCAGAAAGGGGACCGTAGAAGCATACTGTTGTAAGGCTCTTAGATTACAGAAAGTGGTCCATTGTTAGAAGTTAAAAATGTACAGTGGTGGGCCAGGGATTTAGCTCAGTGGTGCTGCTGCCTGCCTCACAAGTGCAAGGTCCTGAGTTTAATCCCTAGAGCCCCCCC